TATTTTGCCTTAAGGCATACGTCATCCTTGTGTCTGCATATGGGTCTTATTAGTATTCAGGACTTCAGATATCAACACAGGAGAAAGACTGTCAGGATTTTAGGATGATAAAGGAATTGTCTGCATGTAATTGCAGTCTAAAAAGTGATTAAAATTTTCTATTTAATTTTCTATTTAATTTAATCAGTAATAAAAAGAGTTGTATTTTGGATTTCATTCAATGTATATTTTACATGTAATTCACTCTAAGAGACAGTAATTTGATTACAAGAATTTGAGTTATAAATGCAAAATCCATAAGGCAGAACTTCTGTGTGCTAAATTTCCTAGTCTATTAAAGGTAACATCACATGGGAAAACAGTAAGACAGCAAGAAACTTTACTTTTTCTGTAAAGATTCACAAAAAGCTGTTAGTTATTCTACAGTATCCATTGCTATTATTATGTGCTATATTAGAATGCCTAGGGATTTAGAACATCATGACTTAGGATCATTTCAGAATTAGCAGGTACAGGTATGAAAAGAGAATTACAAAAACCATCAATATATCCATTTACTCAATGCCCTGCCAGTGGATAGTTCCCTTTAGTATATTTGCATTTGTATTATTCATTTAGGATTTAAATTATTCAAGCAATGAGGCTTGCACTTCTTCCTCTGAGAGACTCTTTCAATATCTCTCTGTCTCACCACAGGGCTTCATTCCCTCATATGAAGCCACAGTTGTGGTGTGGGCTCTTGCCTTGGGGGTTTACAGCATTTAGATGCACGCTGTGTTTCCCTGGGGCCTTGGCCTGGAATGGGCGCTTCAGGCTATTCTGTGCTGACCTTCTCTGGCCAATTTAGAGCATCAGGAATGATCCCAGCATGTGCTGCTCCTCTGCAAGATTTTCTAGCTGGATTACAGTGCTATGACTCTGTGATTCTGACAGCTGTCTGTCCAGAAAGAATATTGATTTTAATGAGGCAAGACATGAAGCATACTTCTATTAATTTATTTGTTTCCTCCTACCATATATAGAAGAATTTTAATGGTGTACAAATCAAGTACCCTTCTCCATATAATTGTGAGTAATTCTGTACCACAGCACAATGTAATTGAAAATAAATATATGCATTCTCCATAATCTGTCTTCCATTATAATATAAATCCAGGTATGATTGTTTATAATAATAGTTTGTGCTAATTAATGTAAGAACTATTATGCTTACATAAAAAAATGTTAAGTTTTAATCTCTTTAGAAGTGTATGCCTAAAAAATATCAAATGAGCTGGGAAAGGCAAAAAAAATCATTGCTAAAACATGAAAAATTAAGTTATTGTCTGTAAGTTACTAATTGCACTAGATCCATGCATTTTTAAAAGTAATTATCTTTGTACCAAATTCCAGTTTCCTTCTCCATAGTGTATTCTAATATTAAGTGGTAGGACTGCCATCTGTCAGGTGAGGCTCATTCCTTTTCTTAGCTTTTCACTCGAATAAACTGTGGTTAGAATTCCTTCTTCTACATCTGCATATCCTGAATGTGTTTTTATCAATAATAATGAGAGAGTGCACCTTGCATTTGGAGCAGATTTTTAATGATTTCCACCTCTCACCCTAATGCCAATGAAAAGTAAAGCAATGGCCTAGACCTTGCTGAGGTTACAAGGTTTCTGGTTTTGCCTGAAGTTCCTCCTAGTGTAGATGCAGCAGGGTTCTGTGGCATGTGTCCTCAGGGAAAGGTAGCCTGAACCTTCAGAGTGAGTGACCCCAGAACATTCTGTGCTTGCACAATTTCCTTTCATAATTTTCAAATGGTTTCATTTCTAAACAATAATAATAAAAATGGGCCATATCAAAATCTTTCACAAAATGAAATTACTATTCTGAACCAGTTTTGTAGATACTCCTCTCTACTGGTGGGGCTAACTTCAGAGAGGTCAAAAGATGAAGGAGATTATTTCTACTCTTCAGCCTTTTTCCTCAGATCAGGGTATAGGAGCCAAATTCCCGCTTGGATGATATTTCCATAGTTAGTTTAGCAAGCAGTAGGTAGCCAGAACTCCTCTTTTCCTTTCCTCTGCCCTGCAGCAACTGGCAGTGTGGCAATGCTGAGGAGGGAGGGGAGAAAAAGGACAGCAGCTGCTCTGAACTTTGCTCATGGTAACATTTTTCTTGAGATTGACCAGGAGGCAGTGAGACCTGTTATCTCCTTTGGATGGTATCAGGTTGGAGACGCTCTCAAAGAGTAATCATATACAAATATCTTTCCAGCACAGATAAAGATCAATAAAATGTAATTTTGAAGCATATAAGTAGTTATTTTTGGACATCAGTATCCTGGTAGTACAAATAATCTAAGAAGATTTTTTTAAAATTATTTTAATAGATAAATATGGAGTTCATTTTTTTCCCTTTCCTTGGGCTGATCTGATATGTTGGAATTTTGGATAAATTTTGTTCCCTTATGCCCTTTGTGCCGTGTTTCCTACTGGTTTCAGATTTCTGTCTTCACTGCTTGACTACTGTCAATATTACTACTATATCTACTAGTTATGTCAGTTGTTTGTACTTCTCAGCCTCAAAGGCAGAAGGATGTAAGGAACGGGGAGATGGAAGTACAAATGGACCAGAAACTGACCTGAAACTGGCCAGAAATTATAACATGCACTGAACTTTAGAGCCAAAATTAAATATAAATTGAAACAGTTTAGGGGGAAAAATAACTTCCATCAACTTTAAGTACAATTTTAGACATATATTCCAGCTTGAGAATGTTTTTGCTATTCCTAAGGATGCTATATATCCCCAGAGACTTTGTGTACCTCAGTCAGAGTGAAGTAAGATTGAGAAATTTGGATATATGTCCCAGAACACAGTATAGCAAATAAATTCCTATTTCATTCATAAGAAATAAACCCCACCAAAACAATATGAGGCTTTAGTGTCAATGGCTCCATAGGGTCTTGAAGGTGAATTTAATTTTCCTAAATATCTCAGTAATAGTACATTGTGTTTCTATGCTAATTTTTAGTGTTTCATACCTTCTTTGCTCTTTCTGCATTCTGTTAACATATTTTACACAGTCACTTCATCTAAATAAGGTAACTGCAGTTTTCTACACTGTGCTTACTTAGTCATTAACGATTTTATTATTAGCATATTCTAACACTCAGTTCTGTAGGCGAAGCTTTCTCCACCTGCCATGTATATTTTCTCCCTACAACTGTATTTTTCCACATTTATTTTTTCAGTATTATTCTCACAGTAATAATATTTCTCTGTAACTGTGTAGAGTCCAGAATTGTACAGGCTAATTCTTCCTGACAGTGTACTTATCAGTGCTTCTGTTCACATTGCTGTCAAAAATAATCTGCGAATTTCCAGTTTGCATATTTCTTTTTCAATATTTCCACTCTTCTTTCATAATCCCATAGCATGAGGTCATGTCAAATTATATGACAAAAACTGGCATTTGTCCATATTCATTTGAAGAGATGCTCATATCCTGAAACAGCATTTTCCTCCTCAAAAGTAGTGCAGCTGATCTGCTGTCTGTGCAGGTAAAACACATGTACTGTAGGCTAAATATACAAACCCAGGTGCCTGTCTGGAGCTAACATCTCCAGAGTTATATCAATACAGCTGCAAATGAATGGGGAGATTTTTCATCAGTGCTAAGCACTGTATTCAGTAACCCCAGTGAAGCCAGTATGAATAGCAGGTATTTGGCATGTGAGAGTTTTGCTCATGATCTGTAACGACAGAGAGAAATAATCAAATGACATATGTTGTTTTGTGAAAGTCTTCTGCTGCCTAAGATAGAATTTTTTAAAATAATCTCTCCTGTATTTCTGATCTCTACCATTATGTCTATTTGGTTGCAATACAAATAAGATATATTTTCAGTCTACGTTTTCTAGCACTTGTCTTCCATACAGTTCAGTTTATTTGGCAGGATGAACAATAATTTCAAGTGAAAGTCAACTTTTCTGCCAGTACAGAGTAATAAAACCACTGCTATGCTAAAATACGTATTCATAAATAGCAAGATTATCTAATCACAACACATTTATTTATTTTGTATTTTTCTTTTTATCATCCTTTGTTACTGTGATCTAACATAGGTGCATGTTAGATCACAGTAGAGATATTAATTTGGTTGATGATTATAATTTAAACTATGTTTATACTTTATACTTATTTTCACAATATAATAGCCAAACTATCCAGACATGTTTTTTGAAAGAGAACTTCCCTTGTAACCAAAGCAATCACTCAGAAAATGTGCCTTAGCTCAGTATTCAGGCTGCTCACAGGTGGTTTTGAAAGTCTGATTTCACAACACTTGAAAAAAACCAGTATGGACATATATTAATTTTTTATGCTTTTTGAACTAGATAAATATTAATTTACTCATTTTCCTCATATGCTATGTCAAGAGCTTGAAAGAAAGCGCATCTAAGATTTTAAATCTGCCATGTTTTTGTGTCAGGTTAGGACAATGATGCACAACTCAGATGACTGCCTATCCAATCTTGCCTCCAGATTTTCTCATCCTGACAGATCCATGGGCAGATTCAGACACAGAACTGTACTGCTGAAAACATAGGCCTTGTTTTTATTCCAATTTATCATGAAAAAAACCAAATTGATAAAGTTATATTGAATATTGAGAGAAAATATTTCCTAAAGACGGTTTTTATTTTTCTTAGGAAAAAATATATTTTCCCCAGGCGTTGCCCTTTATAAAGGCAACCAGTATGTTGCCTTTATAAAGGGCAACGCCCAGGAAATACTGACATTTTGAGAAGTGATAATTCCAAATCAGAGGACTGTACTGGGGGAGAATTTGTCATAATCTCAAATACAGATTTCATCATACTGTCACCTGAAAACTCAAGACTGCTGTGATTTACCTGACAATGAATATCAATTTCCAGACCTTGTCAAGTAACCCAATCTAGGGCTATACATCCTTTGAGGGTAAGTGGTACAAAATAAATCTTCAGTTTAGAACAAAACTATAATCTCATTTAGTGCTTCAATAGTCCTTTCTCTGCTAAACTCACATAGCCACAATGATTGTCCAAAGACACGCATTCCCCCTTCTTGGACATCCTTAAGACTGAGCTACATAAAACCCTAAACCACCTGGTCTCACAGTTTTCCTGACACTGTTTTAGGCAGGACGTTGCACCTTCTGAGGCTGCTCACAACCATATTATCATGTGACTCCTGATGGTATGTTTGATATTTTCAGATATATTGAGACTTGGTTTCTGATTATCCAGAATATGCAGATTACGTTTTAATAATGCCACTTCTTTCTCTCTATAATATCCATGTGTTGGCCTCATAGGGCTCCCTGAAGCGTGTGTTTCCATTTCCACCATTAGCTGAAACCATCAATGGAATGAATAGCATTCCTTAGGCTTGAGATATTCCAGAAGTGATACATAATTGATTTACATTTTAAAAGACATCACACATACACATGTATTCTAGCAGGATACTTGTCTGTGATATCTGAAACCTTTTCAGATGGAACATTAAATATAAATCCAGAGTATTTGCTTGTACCCTTTGTTCTTCTTTCTTAACTATCTAGAAAGAAGCAGCATTTCCCCTGACTCTCAGAGCTCCTTTGCATCAGCACTGCTTTTCTCTCATGAGAGTTCTATATCTTCTAGTAATATTTATTAATCTGCCATAAAGTACTTCCAGTTCTATAATTCCTTAAGTTCAGGGATAAGACTTTAATTTCTTCCACCGCTCCCTTGTGCTAACGTAGCACAAGAACTTTGCTGATCCTTCTCACAGATGGAATGTCATGACTACATTGCTTGGTTACCGGATTTCCCTCTTCCTCTTTATTGTGTCTCTCTATCCTCAGCACTGACATGTTTGCCTTTTCAGTAGTCAGGTGAACAGGGTAATTTGAATAACTGCTATAGAAGTAAAGACTCAAGGGGTTTGATTTAATTTTGTTTAAATGTTAGTATATGAAATGTGATCTGTTAGAGAGTAGTAGAATCACCGTGCAGATGACAAGCATCAGGCAGATCGTATTACCTGGAATAATTGAAAACTGTCTGCTTTCTATAATTTTACTTGGCTTTCCTCATCTAAGAGTTAAAAATATGTACTGCTCTTGATGACTTCTAAAAAAGAACCATAAACAAACTTAGTTCTAGTTCAGTTTCCACGAGAAGTAGTGAAAGCAGATGCATCAGCCAATGCTCAGAGGAGACAGGTGTGTGCATTAGCCAAAGTGTGCATGTCAGATTAATTTGGAGTGTAATAGTCATGTTCAAAAGAATAAATAGTTATGAGAGAACATTTTACTCATTTCAATTCTCATAAACTAACTTGGAATCCACGTTTTGTCATCCAGAAGATTCTGAAATTGGTGTCCCACTTGTTTCATTTGCTTTTGATGTGAATAATCTCAGAATTATGTTTTGTATGTTTTAGTCTCTCCTGTTGATATTTTAAGTAAACATTTTACTGCCAGAAAGAATTCCTGAAAGTGAAAAAGGGAAAGGAAAACAAGAATTATCAATATTCTGTTTAATATGAATAGAATTACATCTGCTGCTGCTTGAACACACACATATTTATGGGTGAATTTCAGACAAGCCAGGAGGTTTCAGTAGGTAGAACATATATGATAAGCCAAAAATATTGCATGTATTTTTAATTCACAAGAATGTGAACAGCTGTGGGTCTTGGAACACTTTATCAATTTATGAATTTAAGAAACTATAAAGCATTGAAATCCTTCCAAAATAGTTCACACTTGAGACAGATCATTGTGGCAGCAGCTCTCTGGCCACAGACAGCAATGCAGAACTTTCCCAGGCATTGTCCTGGGGAAGGCTGTGAGAAGATCAAAGAATGATAAACAACTCTTATCTTCACTTGCTGCACCTGTTGTTGTGAACATGTGGAATGAGTTGTGGAGATGTGTTTACCAAAGGGTGGTTTCTTGATTGGCCAATGGTGATGGCGTTTGCATTGAAGGACCAATTGGGTCCACCTGTATCAGACTGTCAGTAAGGGTGATTGGTTTCTTAATAAGTACAGTGTAATAAAGGGATTGATCAGCCTTCTGAGAATCATGGAGTCAAGGTCAATTATTACTCGGCTGGGGGCCCGTGATGACAGATTATGGCATATGATAATCTGGTAGCAGAGCCCTGGCTATAATGCCATCTGCTTTTCCTATGTGAAAATTCCTCAGGAAGGATGGGAGCATTATAATGATATGTGACAATCACTACCTAAAAGCGCATCTAGTTAAAGCCAAGAGGAAGTTAGCTTAGGGGGGAAAATAATAATTATTTTTACCTAAAATATATATAGAGTTAAAAATGTCTAGCATTATATATAATCAATTATGTTAATAATTGTATTTTATACCTTATTTAGTTTTAAAAATTTTACATTCCTGGATAAATAATAAATTATCAATTGCTTCTATGTTTAGTGATTAAAAGACTTTCTTGGAATCTACTATCTTTAACAACTGCTAGCCAATTTATTTTACCTTCAGTTTTCTCTCTATGCTATATAATGTCTCAGTATAGTTGCTATGTTTCCTATTTGTTTGGGTAGCTGGGATTCAGATGTGTATACTTAGGATATTCTTCAATAGTAGGAAATTTCTGAAGGTAGCTAGGGATTCCGTTTTTAAGGAAGATTTTTTCCTTTGTTTCAATTACGCAAATTGCTGTGAGAGTGATTCAGTAAAACAAAAGAAAATTATAGGGCTTGGAGTTTTATAAAAGAAGAAATAGATACTTTTTTTTAGGGGGTCTTATTCTATTATAAATCTCTCCAGAACTCTTAACTTTCCATGGACGAGTGTCCCTCCTCTCCCCCTCTTCCCACTGGCTGATGCATCAGTCAGATTCTAGTAGGTACCATTCCAGCTTGTGTTCATGAAACATTTTGCAGACTGTGTTTTGGATTGGAGGTACTTACATTATTTTCTTGATACCAATTTTTTCTCATTCTTTTTATTAAACACTATCTGGTTTTTATAGATATATATATTAGTAACTTATACTTCCCTAGCAACAACATCCCCAGCAAATATGCATTTTTAGCAGATTCATGCCTAAAACATAGGCAGCACATGACAATAGACTTCCCTGCAACCTACTGCTACTAAAGCATTTCAATACAGAAACACAGCTACTTTAAGGCTTATTTCACTCTACCATTTCTAATAATTTTAAGGGATCTAATTATACTCTACTCTTTCTCTCCAGAGAATTCGCTGAATGAAGGGTTATTCCACTGAAGTCAGTACTGCCATATAGTACAAAATTAGAGTCATAAAGGAGAACAGTTGTTTCCTGATCCTCTGGTGGAAAAAAAAAAAAAGGTACCATGGGATTAGAAATTAACTGGTTTATACACACATATACCCAAGTTAATAAAAAGATAGCAAAAACGTTTTCTTTCAGTCTACAGCTGTAATTAGGCAGCTAATTTTACACAAAGTGAGATTTCTGATATCCAGCCCAGTTTCTAAAAACTTTGCCTTTTAAAGGTAAAGCATCAGACTGTTTTATCCAGGGTCTTTTTAGCTGGGTTTAGATACCTGTTTGTTAGGTGTTGAGCAAATGAAGCAAAATCCATTGGAATTCTATTTCTAACTTTAAAACTTCCAAAGGAATTACATTTCTGTCTTTAAAAAGATGGAGAAAAAAATGAAAGAATCCAGTAAGAGGCTCATTAAAATGTGTAATAGGGCTTGAAAATTCAGTTTTAATTTTTTTCTTATAAATTAGGTATAAGTTCCACTTGCTGCTATTGGGATAGTTTCTTTTAATAAACACTTTAAACAAAAAAGTAGGCTATTGGGAGTAGGGGTGGTCTCCTACCTTCATGGCCCAAACCATTAACCTTATAATTAGATACAGATATCGGCCTTAAGGACAGTATTTTTTGTGAAAATACTGCCAACTTTTGGACATGGCTCTTCAATGTCCCTGTGATCACAATGTCACTTTCATATCTGTATTTGCTTCCAAGCTAACTGTGTAATGAAAGAAAAAAATCTGCAAGTTACACAGTAGTAAATCCGTGAAAGACAGTGTACCTATAATTATGATCACAGGAAGAAGCAATCTACAAGAGTGTGTTTACTCTGGGCTCTGTTCATCAGAAATCATTCAGGAAGGTCTGTGGCAGCTACTGAAGGCCATGGATCATGACTTTGTCAGGCTATTCATTTAAGCTTAACTCTTAAAATAGTGTGAAGACTGCATTGTTTAAATCAATCAGTCAAGAATGTCAGGAAGCAGAATATGAAGTTTTATAAGGGAAATTAAGTTGCACTCCAGCATATTTTATGATAGTTATTGCACTTTATATGTGTTTTTATGGTAAGTCTCCATTTCAGAAGTTAGTAACTGTAGTAGCCTTTTTATTCTCACACTGAGAAGCAGCAGAAAACTGCATAATAGCATTAGCCAGGTGTGATGGTAACTTTTTTGGGATTCATATACTTTTTCTTTAATTTCATTGGATGAAAATTTACTTTCTTATAAAAGTTTCCTTCATTTTCTGAATTTGATACTAGCTCACGCTTGACTAATTTGCTGTCGTGCTGTTACCTATGTGGCCATACCTGTTAACCAGTTTAACTGAGCTCTTTATTTTTTTTATCAGAGAACACAAGGACAAAGTGGAAGAATAAAAAAGTGGAATGTAATGGAAGATCCTTGTATTCTCAAGGTACAGTGGGGACGACCCTCCCTTTGGATGCCAGTTAAACCAACAGTGCTTGTGCCAACAGTGCTTGTGCCAACAGCATTCCTGTAGACAAGTAGCATGGTCAGAGAATAGAGCTGGCTTTAGGTGAAGATGTGGATTCATACCTGCAGAGCAATGGCCATTTAAATGAAAAGACTTAGTGCCAGATTTTCCTTGATTTTTAAACCTGGTCTTACTAAACTAAGGGAAGTGATGAATTATGTACAGGTACACTGACTCCCTTTAGAAAAAACAGCATGTACCTTCAATACTGATTTTGAATCCTCATCTTTAAATAGAAATGCTATTGATGGAGGGAAAAGCTGCTGTCAGATTGGTATGTTGTGTCTATAGCCTATTTGCTGTAAAATGGAAAATGACCCAGGGAAATAAATGTTATGCAAGTCTCGTTAAGAAATCTCTAATAGAAAATGTTTATTTAAAGAGAGACATAGTTTTCCTGAATATGTGTTACAAATTTTAAAAGATCAAAACACCTGGAGCTGGTAGTTGTCTGTGCTGTCCTTGTTAATGTGACAGGAATCCCAAACAGTGTGTTGACTAAAATCTTTGCATGTTTACATCATGTCTGCTGGGTGTTTACATTTTTAAATGGCACATACCCAGGAATCTGAAAAGAAACCAGGCAGTGATAATTTAGCACTTTGAAATGAAGTACATAAGATCTACACTTTAAAGCAAGGCTATTGCCAATTCAGTCAGTCACCAACCAAAGGCATTAGAAAGCAATAGGAATAAATAAATAGCATATGTGAAGAACTTGATTTTAAATTAATCTTAAAATCATAGAATCGTTTAGTTTGGAAAAAAACCAAACTTTAAGATTATGGAGTCCAGCTGTTAACCTGCGAAGTTCACCACTTAATCATGTCTCTAAGTGGTACAACCACATGTCCTTTAAATGTCTCCAGGGATGGTGACTCAACTACATCCCTTGTCAGCCCATTCCAATGCCTGACAATTTCTTCTGTGAAGAAATTTTTCCCAATATTGAACCTTAACCTCTACTGGAGCAACTTGTGTCCATTTCCTCTTGTCCTGTCATTGGTTACCCAGGAGAAGAGGCTGACCCCCACCTTGTTACAACCTCCTTTCAGGGAGTTGCAGAGAACAACGAGGCTCCTCAAGCCTGTATTATTTTTCCAGGCTAAACAATTCAATCTCTCTCAGCTGTACCGCATGAGACTTGTGCTCCAGCCCCTTCACCAGCTTTGCTGCCTTTTTCTGGACCAGCTGCAGCATCTCAGTGTATTTCTAGGAGAGAGGGGCCTAAAACTGGCACAGGATTCAAGGTGTGGCCTCACCAGTTCTGAGTACAGAGGGACAGTCACTGCCATAGTCCTGATGGCTGCACTATTTCTGATCTCCTGTCTAGAATAGGCTCAGGTTCTTCACCCAGAGCGTGGCTGGGCACTGGAACAGGCTCCCCAGGGATGTGGCCACAGCACCAAGCCTGACAGAGCTCAGGAAGCATTTGGACAATGCTCTCAGGCACATGGTGTGACCCTTGGGAATGGAGCTGTGCAGGACAGGGAGTACAAATAAATGATCCATGGGAGTCCCTTCAAAATCAGCATCTTTGTGATTCTGTGAAATGGCAGCAAGAAAAAGGGTGTGGCTCTGTAGGTTGTGTACATTTTTGATTAAATGTCATTATTTTCATTATATAAATTGCTAATGGAAAAAGACCCCAGCAAACTAATATGGATAGCCAGGTTATTTCTACTATTTACTTGGATGAAAAAAAATTTAAATTTTTCAGATACTTGTTTCTGTATATTTATGTATGACCCAAATTTCTGCTCTTTGTGTTATTACTGCTTTGGTTCTTCATTCACATTATCATAGAGCAAATTAGAAAATAGTTATTTTTCTTGTTTAAAATTTATTTCTGAATAAAGAAATAATTTGGTATTTAAATAGGCAAGAATTTGGAAAGGTAATGTTACACATTTTTAGATAAAGAGTAGCATTACATCTATGAAAATATTCTGTGGCATCAATCATGTTTTATTTTTAAAGAAATGGATCAAATACTCAATTTCAGTCAGGTAACTATGAGTTCACAAAGAGCTGCCAGTTAAATCATGCCAACCATTATGAATATACTATGGTAAATTGCAAAGTGGACTATAAATATGACACTCGTTATAAATGCCTATTTCCTAATTATCATCTGAACTTTGTCATAGTGAGACAACATTAAACAGGAAAGTTTTACCTGACCTGTGGAGTTTAATATTAACTAGCTTTAGGTTCAAAATATAGGCAAAATAAATAGACTTCAACTTTGAGCACAAAATGAGGCAACTGAGTAAGTGAAATCTAAACTGTGCAATTTGACTGTTTCACACACAGGCATCGTAGAAACAATGGATAACAATTGACAAAATGTAAATTCCCTGGATACATGCAAAGATTATGGGGAAGAAAAAGAATAAAAATTGCCAGACGGAACCTCATGTACTTAGTCAGGTAAGCAAATTAATGACATTTTGTATCAGCTTGGCATAAGTTCTGAGCAATTTAGTGTTATTCTGTGGTGTCAGATATCACTGAAATATCCAAGAATAAAAACATCAATTGAAAATGGTGACTGATAAAGGATATGAAGGGACTATAAGGTATTATTAACGCTTTTTTCTCTTCTATGGCCCTCAATTTGATGGAAAATCTATTTCTTTCTTAGTTAAATTCCTAAGTGTCACAAGATAAAAAATATTTTTATAAAGTGCATCTGTCTCTGGAATAAAAGATCAGAACTGTGATGATTTCATCAGGGCTGTACCACTTTGTGTTATTCAGATATCTGGCTAAATTTTTAAATTTTTATTGAAAACTAAAACTTGGGAAATATGACCATATGGAAGTTCATGTTGACCTTAAGAAAAGCACTAATACAAGTTGGTGGACTGAAATATACAGGAATACACTTCCCGTATAAAGCATCAGAAGATAGAAGTTTATGACTGTATTAACACTGAAACACAGCAGTTTCTGTGTTGTTTGGGCTCAAAGATCCTACAGTTTTTTCAAGCTTAATGATTATATGATTCTGTAAGTGCTTCCACTTAAATCATTAGAACAGTCTCATCATAATATCCATTTTTTGATTAAGGCAAAACAAGTTTAGACTTTTTGTACGGCCATCAGATTTGGAATTATCTAACAGGACTTAAGTGCCTCATCCTTCATAAATCAGCAGAAGTATTTCTTTATTGTGATAGCTAAATAAATCTCAGTTTGTTGACATCTTACCTAGTAGTTCAAAGCAAGATGATTCCAGAGCACCACTGTCTTGGAGTGCTGACTTTAACATCACAGCTTCAGAAGCTGGCACTAATTATATATGTTTCCAAAAAGTCCATCCTTTCCCATCTCTGTCATCTCATTTTGCTCCTGTGCCGCCTACTCCCGTATGCCAGAGCAAGTGTTCATGTACTCACATTTCAGGTTGAAATCAACCTAGAAAAAGAATTGGTAGGGAACAAAACTTTATCTTTTAGCAGGAACCCCAAATTATGTATGCTTAAAATGATGATGAAAGAAATCTGAGTAAGGCACTGGGGAAACTCTGCTATTACGAGCCCAACAGAGTCCCCTCTGCTGAATTTCAAAAACAGGAAATGTCTAATCACTTAGATACTTCTATTCCTCCTATTTCTCTGAGTCCCTGAGTTGTTGTAGCTGCTTAGGGTAAGTGTTAGAACTCAAAACACTTGTTTCTTCTCCCAATTACTTAAAAAAGAAGGTTTCATATTATTTTAGAAGGAATAAAAATACCTAAGTATTTATGGGAAACGATGAAACCTTTCTGCCTGTATCACTCCAACAGGGCAAAGAGATGCTGCCAAGGTAAGGAGCTGGAAATATCCTGAGCTAACTCGATGCAGCCCTGATTGTCTTAGACTTGGAAATATAGATTTTAGGATATTCTCTTTAAAGATCAGCATATAAGGTACCCATTTACAAGGAAACACATTTAAATACTTTTGAGCAGATAAAGCAAATACCTCATCAGACAGAAGCTAATTAAACAGATTGGGCATTTTCTGCCATTCTTTTTTGACCTTACAAGGTATATATACAACAGTAGTTTTAATCTGAGTGAAGCTGGAAGAGAACTAAGGAAAGAACAAAAAATATTTTTTGGTCATGGTTGGAGAAACTTTATTTGGATGACAATAAATACTTGTGACTAGACATGATTTGCTCTGAACTGGTACCTGACCACAGGTAAGAAAGTGAGGTTAAAATCATGTTACTGTGGCATACACACACAAAAAAAGTATGTAACCAGATATTAATTTGCTTAGGAAAATTGTTAGGGGAATACTTAACATCTGCTTGGAGACATGACAGGTAATAGAGTTGGTTAAAAAATATTTATGGATAATTTATTTGAGATTTTCAGAAACGGATCTTGATTCTTTTTTTGTTTGGTAACTATTATGTACAGAAAATTTTTGGAGTAGGGAAAAATATTGAATAGTTTGCTTGGTGATTGATGTGGGATATAATTACTGATTATAACAATGGAAATTTTTTATTTGACTAGTTCTGAAAGATAATGAATAATCATTCAGTAGTCTTGGTTATCACTAACACAGAATTAAACAGCTTGTAGCCTTGAAAAAAAAAATAAAAACATGCATAAGGTATAAACCCCAAGTGTTTGGGTTTTAATCTAAATCAGCCTGTGACTGACTGTCCATAGGGCACTAGTTCAAATAATGTAAGTTTTATATGTCATATGATGTGGGATGATAAAGTGAACAGAAAGCCCTAAGATTTGCCGGAGTAAATGTAAGTTTGTTCAATACATGCAAAACTAATTAGAAATCACTTTTATTCAGCAATGAAGTCGAACGTGTCATGTGCTTTTGATGACAGCTGTCCTCTAGAAGACAGAAATTGTTCTCCTGGTGGAAGTTTATGTTTTCATTGCCTGGGACTGTCTTAACTCCAACTGCCCTGGGCCTCTGAGTGCAGCAGCACATGAGCAGAGGTTCTGCAGCCATGCATGTTCTGATAGTTCATAACAAGCTTGCTCTATTTAATTGTATTTTAAGAATGAATGAGGGATAATATAAAGTTAGCTATACCAGGACTTTACCATCTAATATTTTATTGGGAAATTGTTATTTCTGAATAGCATGGCAGAACAGAAAGCAACACTGTGGGCACGGATCTCAGTCCTTCTCTTGTTATTACTGAAGAAGAAATGCTATGCAGACAAGAAAGAGGCTGAGTTAATTTCTTTATATGTAACTCATGTATTTACTGTGAGATCTGCCTGTCACCTTTGTGTCAAAAGCTCTTCTGCCTCTACAGGGCAGGACACTGCTTAGGATAACCACTGCTGCCAGGAGGAGAAAGATGGTGTGGCATGGGTAAGATGAAGACCCTCATACCCAAAGTTTACTGGGAGGGCACACAAGGTAGAGTCTGGGGAGAGTGGCTGTGTTGCTGTGCATCCTCACACTTGCATTGCAGCTTTGTCCTGGCCTTTTAAGATGTTGGCTTGGATTTGACAAAAGTGCACTTGGCAGTCTGCAGCCAATGAAGCCAAAAGCCACATATGTTTCTGTGAGGCTCTGTTTCCTCTTAGTAAAATAAATGTATTTAAAAATAAAGAGGCATCCAGGTGTCCTTGTTAAAAAGGCTGTGTGAACCCTGGAGATTATTTGAATATTTTTCCCTGAAAGCTCATTAGTTACTAGGACAATTATTAAAGCATCTTATAAGGGAAATATTCCCTGTTTGAAAGTGAATGTGTATTGCTTTCAGGAAGTTATTCTGATTTGTTTGAGTGGGCTCTAATAAAGAAAATACCTTCCTTTACACTGCTTAGTAAACTACTAATAGAATAGATATAGAAGGACAGAGAATCAACATTTTTACTCTTATTCAATGTTTTTTAAAGCCTTTGCTGTGAATAAATAGAGACTTTAAACTGCTCCCATGTAGGTTTATATTCAGCAGATTCCTAAGATCTCCTGGAAATGGAAGCAATTTTCATTTAAATAATTTATTATCAGACTCACAGTGCACTCTACAAGTTAAATGCAAATTGACTACAGCTTGGCCATCTCTAAGCATTCAAAACTACTAACTCAGGTTGCAAGAAAAAGCAAGTTTGGCTAAAAAAAAAGGAATTATGAGGAAAAAATGGTTATTGTTTCTTTTGTTTGCTAATGTTTTTGGAAGTCTACACAGTGGACTTTTCACTATTTATATCTTTAACTACATTTATCTGTCAAAATGCATCTGGTGTTCTGAAATTTTAAAATTCTTTCCATTTATTACAGTTCAAAATTGACCCATTTCCCATTTTTCTTTCCATTTTATATTTTATCAATATAGATTTCACATTTTTCATTTTATAAAAATCCGTATATTTCAGTAAAAGGATAAGGCTTTAATAAATAAAAATTTTATAGGTAGTGTGTTGAAGACAATGTAAGAAAAAAAAGAATTGGAAAAATATTAATAACAGGAATAACTTCTAAAACTGGTTTGGTTTTGTTAGTGTTGTTTTTTTTAGTATTATTTTTTAGGGAGTATATTTTGGGTGAAATAGTTTATCCAAATTTGTGAATAATCCCTGCCAATTATGTGTTTTTAAATTTTTTTTCTTTTTTTTACTATTTGTACTGAAATATATGAATATATTTTTTGAAAAGTTGTGTGCTTTGCTGGACAAACTGGCCAGTGGATAACTCCCTTAACCAGAGAAGTTACCCTGAAGAAAAGACTATGTATCTCCGTGATGTTCCTTCCCAATGTCTAACCAAAACTTACTCTCTTTCAGATTAAACTCATTGTCCCTTGTCCTATTACCACATGTCCTTGACAAAAGCCCCTCTCCATCTTTCTTGTAGGCTCCCTTCAGGTATTGGAAGGTGAATAAAGTCTGCCCAGAGCCTTCTCCAGTCTGAAAAATCCCAACTCTCTCCAGGCTGAAAAAATCCCAACTCTCTCAGTCTGTCTTCACAGGAGAGGTGTTCTAGAGCCCTGCTCATCATCATGACCTCCTCTGTACTTGCTCTGACAGTTCTGTGTCCTTTTGTTGGGGACCCCAGAGCTGGGTGCAGTGATACAGGTGGGGTCTCACCAGAGCAGATTAGAGGTGCAGAATCACTTCCCTTGTCCTACTGCTCATGCTGCTTTGGATGCTGCCCAGAATATGGTTGGCTTTTGGGGCCAATCCAATCATCTTACAGAGAAATAAGGAAAATGAGATTCCATAGTGGATCAGACTTCAGTGATTTGCTTTTCATGATGTGTGGCTCTGATCCTTACCTTCTGAGCAATGATCAGTGCTCAGAGTTTAGTTCTTGTTGGTCAACCTTTTGTATTGTAAAATGTTCCCAAAGTGTGGAGAAACATATCTGAAGAACAGTGGAGATCAACATTTCGTCTCCCTTGGATCTTAACAGAGGATAATGGATGTTCCCTTTTAAAGCACTTGTGCTATTGATTTTGTGGCTTTATCACTTTTATGAAAAGTGTTACCTCACCTAGTTCTATGTTCATTACTTTATTTGCTTCTGAGAAAAATATTATCTTCAGAAAGTCCCAGGCAGGGATTTACTATCCTGGATCAAATGAGTAAAACCTGATAATTCTGAAGTAGTTGGCAAGAAAATAGCAGCCCCATGACAGGTCATGTTCCCACAGGTTTCTCTGATAATCACTAATTGCTTCAAAATCACATATTCAAAATGGAAAAGAGAGCTGATTCCATCAGGTCACATCATTAAGAGGAAGAGATGATACACAACATCAGCTGCTTAGCAATATCATGTTCCTTCTACTTATTAGTGATATGTTTATTCCCTTTTTAAATAATAGAAATGGTAAAGTTTCTGCCATTTTTATAAGTCCATAGTAATTCCTCATCTGGATACAATAAATTCTCAATATTTCCTACATACATGAATTTTCTTCTGACTTTCGTACTCTTCTACTAAACTAAATAATTGCGTTTTCCTCCTTGTTAAGGCCCTTCAATATCTTTAAGCATTTATAATGTGTCCAATTAGTTGTATAATGGCAAGCTATACAAATACTGGGGGAGGATCTTCTAAATGAAAATATGGTAGATTGGCATTGATTTTCTGTAAAAGCAGAGCACTTAACAGCACAATGCTCTGCTCTCTCCTGGTCCAGTTCCAGGAAAGGATTTAGGCACCTAAGACAACAGCTGAGTAGATACAAATTATCAATTCAGTCACTATTTAACATTTGTGGAGCCTAAATTCAATGAGGAGCTCCCTGTTCTGCCTTGAAATCCCTAAGAACATAGGCTGATGCTTCTGTAGATGCTCAGAGCAGATGATGTCTATGTAGCCATCTTATTACTTATTTTCCTTCTAAATGTGGCTGGAACCCCAGAAGCAGACATTCCTTCACTTAATTGACTCTGAGACTTAACCTAAGAAGTTTCTTTGCAATGTGCCAAAAGCATATCTGCAGAAACATGCTGCATTTTTCTGCAATCTCCCTTTCTTTAAGTTAATGGAGAAAATGACAATGCTGCTCACCTTTTCTATCATATTCTAGAGTTCACCAGCTCCTAAATTAGGATCAGAGTTCAATTTCTTCCTCAGAAAGCATTAAACACACAGACTCTGTCTCAAAGGAAAGTGCTTTCACCACTATTCATGTCTTTAGGTGCATTTTTGAGAAAGAGGAGAAAACCTTTGGTTGCACCTGTGCTGCCCCCATGGCAGGAGTGCCAGGGTCTCTGGCCACAGAGGCCCTGCCATGCTGTAGCCTGCAGTGTTCCAGATGAAGCATCTACAAATCTTCCTGACCTGATTAAGTGCAGAAGTTAAGGGATGCAATATTGGATTTGGAGGTTCATTATTAGTTTCAGGTATTCTAAATGTGTATTTGGTATCCATGTGCTAAGTCTCTGCACTCACATTAGTCTATCTCCGTACCCATACTTATTTTACTTTTCCTCTGGAAATATCTTAGATTTTTAGAAGTTATCTGTAAGGCTTGGGGGAAATTAATATGAGAAATAGTCTCGTTATTTTCTTTTTAATTTCTGCTCTGAATTTATTTCTTTCCCTGAACATTTTAGTTACACATTTGTTATTTCTTTTTGAGCCTTTGGTCATGGTATAGATCTTTTCCTGGGGCAGTTCTTGTTTTGTACTCTGTACATCTATCTAGTATTGAGTTTCAACATTGCTTAAGAAATTGAGCAACATGCACCCATTTAATTTGTCCTTATATCACACTAAATATTTATATTTGAATGGTTATTCAGTTTTGTCACAAATATCTGTCCTCAAGGATTTCTCCCTTTTCTTATGTATGTATATATATATATAAATATATATGAAAATGTTTTTCTTGCAGCTATGATCTTTACAGTTTTTTAATTTCACCATAATTGTTTTACTATTAATGATTCCTCTTTCTAGCTAGCCTCTTACACTATTCTCATGTATTTTACACATATTGATACCCCTCAGTTATGATTTTAATCTGTCAAAATGCTTTAATGTAAGCCACTCTTTCAAGTTTAATTTTAAAATTTAAATATAAATACATTATAAATTTAAATATATTGCATCTACTGTCTAACTTTTGCCTATTGATTTTGTAATTCTATCAAGAAAATAATCAATGTTGATAAAAGCTGTTGTTTGCAAATACATGATTAATATGGCTTGCAACATAGATCCTTGTTAAGCTAACATGAGTTTTGAAAGAAATGTATTGAATATCTGATGTTAGACTTATGCATTGGGGCTCTGCTGGATAGAGCAGAATATTAGCTTACTTACAAGGCTGAATTCTGATTTTTCAATACTGCTTTTATCCCAGAAAACTTGTCAGGGCTAGTTAAAAAAAAAATCTTGAAAAAATCTTGAATAAAATAGGGTTATTTCCAGAAGGAAGTTTGAAATAATTAATTAATTTGAAATAAATAATCCATCAATTCATGATTATATCTGTCAACTCATATTGTAACTCATGATATATGCTCATTTATAAAAAGCAGGAGGCGTTTTTTCCATATGTAGGAAATTTCAGAAGTTAAGCTCAATACCGGGAGATACCACCATTATAGTATAATGTCTATTTCCTTAGGAATACCTTATGCACTACATTCTAGAAAGGGAATTTTGCAGGCACTTCTGAAGAAGCTGAGGATCAGCTGTGTACTTTCAGACCCCAGATAATATGCTGAAGATTAAGAAATCTTATTATTGTGTGAATAAGTTGTTGAAGGTTTTGTTCTTTAGGGCAAAAAAACCCTGTGGTGACTTCTTCTTAAATTATTATTTTTTAGTAGATAGCAGAAAATGGAAATTTCCATTCCAACAGAGGCAGAAATTATGCTCATAATGGGGGAAGAATTAGAATTAGTTGGATATTTTTTAACACTGAATCCTTTCACTACTTGTTCTGCTTTTTGTCCTTTCTCAGCCATTTTTGTTCTCATCTTAAGAATCCTGATCTGACTTCAGCAGAGGTCAATGAAATTTTGCCATTAAAATGAAAACCCATCCTCTCAGAAATCATTACAGCCTATTCTTTTTTTTTTTCGTCTGCTGCTTCAGTCTTTGGCTTTTATCTTTCATAACTCTTTTGTTCATTGTTTCAGTTTGCAACAGTTCCCTCATGTTTTGGCTCATTGATTTTGTTTCCTTGGTTCTCACAGCAGCTTTACTACTCAAACAATGTTTTCCCTTCTACAAAGGAAATAGGTAATTTGCTGTACAAACAGATTGGTTGTTGGATTTGGTTCCAAAGCAATAGTCAGCCCTCCATTCAGAAAGGTTAATGTCCTGTGAACCCCAGCTTAGGCTGCTGTCACTCTCACTGATGCTCGTGGTTTATGAGGGGATCACATTTTATTTGCTGGACTTATCAGTGTTTTTTCTTCTTGTGATAATTGCCTGACCTGCTATGATTGTTGTTTGCAGTATTTACTGACTCACAGATCTTTCTGTCCACTTTATCTCTGCTTGTTCTTATCAGTAGAGGCTCATTGACATTTTATTTGGTCAGTGCCAAATGCAGACTGCTCAGTAAAAGTTCCCCTATTCTAATGATGTGCACTTTGAGATCTAAAATATTAGTATAGCACTCAGGGGAATAAACCCTCTAAAATTAATGGTTTGTTTTATGTGATAGTGTACTAGTTTTTACTACATATTTGAAAGAGAAAACATTTACTTTCTTTTATACCCCATAACGATCATATGTTTTTGCTACAAAAACCCCAAACCAACCAACCAAAATTCCCAACCCCTCTGCAACTGAAATAATTTTTAAAAAATAAAGAATTTTTAAAATCTGTTTGGAATGACCTCTGCCTGCAACTTGCAATTTTGTTTCAGGATATATTTTTGTTTATCCTAGTACTGCAAAATGCAAAGTAAATGCCATTAATGCCTTTACACACTGTGCTCTGTGCAATTTATGCTGAGCAGCAACAGACCCCAGCAGTAAGTGGCCACATAGTGGGATGAACAGTTACATAACCACAGACAGTAATTGGATGCTATTAATGAGAATTTGGGATAGCACAATTTTTTAGCCCCAGATGTAGTTAGCTTTTTATAATCTCAATTAATGTCTTATGCACTCTTTTTTGCAGTGAGTAATTATTTTCCTAATCTCCAGTTGTGCTCTGCAGAGTCACTGAAACAAGGAACTCTGCATTAACTTGACTTGTCCAAGTGCCTCAGATTATGTAGCACAAGTATGGATTTATAGGAGGTGCCTCTGCATATGGAGAGGCGGAAAGCTGTGTCACCTTGTTGGCAGCTCTAAGAAATTGTACTTTTCAGAGTCCTAATTCTTTTACCTTTTTCATCTCAGTTCTCTTGTTCCTGTGAACAAATATCTGTACCTTTAGAAAGCAGCTGCTTCTATTACACCTTTTCAGACAGTCTGTCTGGCCAGAATCCAGAGCAGGGTGGAAGCAAGCATCTGTTCATAATTTATTTTTCCTTGCTATTGGCATACAGAATGGAATAAGCAGGGAGCTGGGTCTAGGCCCTGTACCAGACCCCTATTTTTAAGGTACTTTCCAGCATGACAATCCTCACTCTTTAAATAGATGAGCTTGGAAACAGAATCTGGGATGTTGGCAGCTTAAAAGGACAGGGCTCCAGCATCTGCTGTGGAAAAATAGACACTTCTTAGCTGAAGGTGTAGCAAAATAAAAAAATGCCCTAGTCTTCAAAATGTACAGTTTTCCACTGAAAACTGAGGCTGTTCCATGTGAGTACAAGCGTGATCTGAACTGATTTCCTGGGTAACTGTGGTTACTGTGAAAATAAAGCCACTGGGAGCTGCAGGTGCTCAGCACTGTGGAAAATCAGGTATCAAGTAACAAAGCTGAACTTGTAAAGAATGTTTTTTTCAGAAGAATACTGGTTGATCAATATTCAGTTAAGCACCTAAAATTGTGCTGTATGGGATACTTATATGAACTAATTCCTAAAGCAGTCTAATAGAGCACTGAAATTGAAAGAAGCAAATTCAAGGTATTATTTTTTACTGGTTTTCTAATTTCTCATTTTCTGCTTATGGTGACTGAACTCCATCCAATTGACTGACCTCTTATCTTTAACCAGAGTCTGGGGTCACAGAAATTAGTTTTTACAGATAGGTTATTACTAGCTTGAAATTCCTAGAATTTTGCATAAAATGCTTTGTATTAGGACCCTGTGGAAAGTGATGATGTTGATCCTGTGAGGACTCTGAAGGAATCTGGTTTCACTTAGTTTAATATTACTCAAGTTTTCTAACCCAGGACATCTTCTGTAAGTAAGCATCCTCACTTTTCCTGTGATTCAGCACATTTCAAAAAGGTTGACAAGTGCTCTAGCACTCCACCTCCATGAGCATTTTAAATGAAGTGTAAATTTAAACAAAACAATTAAAAATCAGGCTAAAAGCCTGCTTCTTTGCAGATGATTTTGTGCAGTCACCATCCTTAGAGAGTGTCAAAACCAGACTGCATAAAGCCCTGAGCAAGATTCTTGCTTTTAAAAGTCTTTGTGCATCTGGAATGACAGCAAGATTTGGTGGGAAGTGCTTCTCTTGCTGCGTTCTTGCTCATGTGCCAAAGAGGTCTGGATTCAGAACTTCTAGCTTTACAAGAGGCAGGATTCCCTTGGTTTTGAACTTACTGAGCAAGGCAAGATGCCAGACCTAAGCTATAAGAAGTTACATAAGACCTTCAGTACTATTGATATGCTAATTAGTATACTAATTTCCTAGAATTTCTTCTTCATCTGTCTGTAACATATTTCAACAGCCCATGTTAACACTATATGTATTTTTCAAGGAAAACATCTCATACCATTACCCTTGAAATCAGAACAAACTGAAAAGTGTGTAATTCAGCTTATGGAGAAGTGACATTTCAGAAAACACAAGAATATTACATTGCGTTTTTTTAAAACTCTGGTCACTTTTTGAACTAAGACTCTCAGAATTAAGATGACTGAATCCTTCTCTCCATTAAAAGTTACCATAAAGAAAAAAAATTTAAGTGTGAATTCAAGCTCATAAACTACTCCACACTAGCTCCTTTTGCAAATTCTCTTAGCTAGCAATGTGTGAAGTAATTTACTCCACTTCCGAAAAGCATCAGTAAGTTCACACCTTATCTTTGACAAGGAGGAGGTTATCTCATATTCACTGTGCATTGCATGTCTTACATGAGTAACTTGTGCATTGCAATCCAAAAACTCTGGTCAGAGTTACTGCATGAAAACCCCCTCATGTGCATTTTTGAATATTCAGATGTGATCAGGGCCAAGGTAAGGGAATGACCAAATGTCTCAAATATATTCCAGTCGTTGTTCCTGAGACACAAAGAAAGTCTTCCTGACATTCATTATTGCTCCTGCTTCAAGACATCAGTGAACCTGAAACAACTTGTAGAGAGAAACAACAGAAAATTGGGAAACTTTAGTCATATGACATCTAACCCTCATCCTCCACTGCTTCTAGTACGTGCTTTTCTTCCATCCCATGGCTCTGTAGAGGAATTGTTCTGGTATTACAGGTTGCTTCTTTGCAACCTGGCCTAGAATGCAGATGCCTGGGTCCTGTGCTATGGCAGACAGAGTGAAGCCTGACCACTCTGGCAGCCTCTGCCTCCTCAAGAGCTACAGATAGAGCCTAGAGCTCCTGCCCTGCATGGAAAATATCTCAAATTGTTGGCACTCTCCTGTGTAATTCTAGGGACTTCTTAATAAGATGAACAATGAAGAGCTAACCTGAACAATAGCAGGGTTCAGTCATCAACACATTCTCTGTGTTTTCATATTTATCCAACAGCAATGGTCAGGTTTAGGCAGGTTTAGGCTTTAGGCTATCTCTTTCTAAATCTGTATGAAGACCACCTGCATATTAAAAGTGATCACATGTAAGACAATATTCAATAAGTTTGCCAAGTTGATCAGCAAAGTTCTGGTTATTTATGGCATTAATTCTATTTGAAAATCTTCCCAAAACCTCCAGTGCTTAATCAGCCTTTTTGATCTAAAAGCTGAGTGGTAATTCTCATATGACTTCTCTTTTTATAAAAT